ATTGGGTGATGGAGGCCATAATAGAATTGGTGTGTTGCCGCTCCCACGTTATCGGGCGAGCCTCGGGCGATGGACAACAATAGGATCTTTAAAGTGCCATTACTTGAGTGTTACAACTCCATTTGAGGAGTCGTTCGAAGAGTTGGATAACTAACACAATGAACTACATGAGGGTGGGATAAAATGAGTAAAAATATGGATGTGTCTAGTACCTAGGCTAAAAAAATCTTAGTTCCTTAAGAGATAGTTTTAATGATGAATGTTACTATGATGAATTGTTGGTATTTTAATGATGTATGTTGCTATGATGAATTGTTGGTCCTTTAATTATGTATGTGTTGTTATGATGAATTGTTGGTATTTTATTCCAGTATGTGTTTCTATGATGAGTTGTTGATACTATGATGTATGTTGCCTGATGATAGTAATTTGGTAGCCTCATTGGCAAAAATAGTGGGCTTATGCCTTGTGGTTGCATAGTTGCGATGTTGCATGATGATGATGCATGCATTGGTGAGGGCTTAAGCTCTGTTGTTGGACTGTAATGATGTAATGTTGAGGAATTACGCCCTGTTGTTGCCCAATTGGCACTATGTTGGGGGCTTATTCCCTGTTGGTATCACATGCATTTAGTTGTTGTCGGTTGCATTACATTACACTGTCTTGATTTAATGTCATGCTATATGAATGGAGAATATGTTTCGGTGATTTATGATTAAGATGTGTATATGTTATTATGATATAAAGGTGTGAGTATAATTCTTGGTAAATGATGATGTACATATTTCATGATTGATGTTGTTTACAACTACTATATCTTTTCCTTATATCTTTTGTAACAAATTGTGATTACTGACTCTTTCTGTTTGAATGTTGCCTCCACATGGGTAATGTGCAGGTGATCAAGAATAATTTGTAGAAGCGTGAGGATATCTTGAAGTCTTTAGTGTGTTTCTTTTTAATAAACAGGGTCTTTCTCTGATACGTAACATGGGATTTGGGAAATTGATATGTTCTGCATTGTTTTATTGTTACGTATCTTAATTCATGATTATGTTGAACCACACATTTTATGGATTTTTTATTATTGTTGAGGCCTTAGCGCCATGGAAGAGAATTAAATTGAATTACTTCGCATATTTGTTGATTGCTATGAATAAATGAAGTAATAAAGTGACTTAAGATTTTATGAATTTTCAATTATGTGACATCCCATGCGTAGACTCTGGCATATTTCATATATGTTGTTATAATTATTCTAATGAGAAAATGGAGTGTTACAGTGCACGTGTTATGGTGGTCACAATGAACTTGGAACGTTTGATAGCATCAGAAGGGCACCAGAGTTCAACTCAGTGCCCTTGATTTGAAGTATGTTGGACCGACAGAAGGGATGGAACCTTGACTGAAGGCTTATGGTGGATTGGGATACATGGGATAGGTCAAAGTATGTTTATCGTGTGGCTATCGTGAAGCCACACATTCAACATCAACGAACAAATAGAGTATTATATAAAGAAAATCCTGAGCTCATGGCTCATTTTTTCCTTTCCCCCTCTCTTCACAAAAAAACACAACATAGATCGTTGGAGGTGGAGAGAGAAGCTCTTGCTTCTCTCTATATTTCCTCACTAGAAATCTCCTTTGACCAAGGCGCCGTCGGCCGGAAATCATTTTTGCCACCGACAGCTCCAGGGCACCACCAGCTTCAACGACCACCATTGTCCATATTCATATAAACTGTTGTCTGGGTTCAAACATAATCCAGATCTATGAAGATCTTCAACCAAAACCCAACCACCTTCATATCTTCATTTGGGTTCGCGTGAACCTTATGAAGATCAACCATGAACCCTAACCCTAAAATTAACCAAACACATAAACATATATGAACCCTAACCTAAACTTTGGGTTCTGGATGAACCCTAACCCTAACATAACCCAGAAACCTTCAACGCAGATGAACCCTAACCCTAGGGTTCTTCATATGAACACTAAACATAAACCTAACCCTAAATCAATCCCAGAAACACAAATTGAACCATAATTTCTCAATTAAATAGAGTCCAAACATCAATCACAACAAATAATCGAGCCCTAAAATCTAAGTATTTAGGGCTACCGTCCATGCCGTGAATCTTTGTGTAATTTCCTCTTTTTGTTCTCCAATCTCCTCCTCTAATCTCCTTTTTTCTCTCTTATTTGCAGGTACTTAGAATGCAAGGGGTTTAGCTCTGAAGAACTTGGGGTTTCAGTTGTGAAACCTAAGTTTTTCATTGAGAAGAGCTTTGGTGAATGGTATAGGGATTTAGCAGCGGCAATGTAGAATCTCTAAGGGTCTTTTTTTGTTCGTCCTTAAATCAGTAGTTTAGAGTTTAATTTATAGGCTTTACGAATTGTTGGATTAGGAAATTAGTTGTAGTGATTGGCAGTTTTAGGTTAGATTGAATCAATCTCGGAGATTTGATTTAGCAATTAGAAGTTTTGATTAGATTATTGATTGTAAATAAAGTTAGGGTTTTATATGTAATTGGATACTTTTCTTGATTAATTCGTTTCAGTCAATAAAACAAATTTTAATCAAATATTTGATTTGATTCAATCTTCTGGAAATTGGGCTTGTTACGTTATCTTAGGGAAGAAGAAGGTTAATCTCGGTGCAACTTGTAATCTAGGGTTTCAAAACCCTTTGTTGACTTAGTCAACAAAATTTGAATAATAAATAAATAATATAAAAAGTAATAATAATAATGATAAATGACATGACAATAATAGCAATTTAGATAATGATAATAACAATTATAATATAATAACAATAATTATAACATTAACAATAATAGTTCAAATGACACTACAAGGCCAGTGAAATAACCGGCCGAATCGTCATCTGATATAAAATCAATGAAGTCGCCACCGAACGTCTTTTATCCCGCAAGAAGGGAAAGGTAAACATCAAGAAAACCTGAGAAGGGTGAAATCACGATCAAACGACCGAGAGATCGGGTAAAGGAGTCTGTTATGCGAGGGGTATTAGCACCCCACACGCCCGTAGTACTCTACGGTATCCATTCTTGTTTGTTCTAATTTAAGGGTGTGTTAGGATCTATATCTAAGTTGTACAGGGAATGCATGCAAAAGAAAGGAGAAAATAATGTAGGAAAAATAAAAGTTATGCTCGTTTGGGCCCTACCCCAATGCCTACGTATCCCTTTTAAGGAATCAGAGCAGCCGTAGTTCAGCTCATATGTTTTGGTTGGTTTGTGTTTTTTAGTTAAAAAGACAAAAGCAACAGTCAAGATGGCAAAACATCAGATGAAACAACAAAACATCAATGACGATTATAAAACAACAAAAAAGGAACAACAATGGCAACACATGGTAACACAAACTCGGATAAGATGATAAAACGTCAGCATGATAACAAAATATCAGACAAGACGATGAAACATTATATCTAACAATGATATCAAAAATCAAAGTAGAATAACAAACATATGCGATGGCGAAATATCGGCAACAAACATATGTGATGGCGAAACATAGGCTAAAAACATATGTGATAGTGAAACATCAGCGGAAAACATATGCGATGGTGAAACATCGGCGGAAAACTTATGCGATGGTGAAACATCGGCGAAAAACATATGTGATGGCGAAACATCAGCTACAAAGATAGCATGGTAACATGGCAAAGATGGAGAGGAATCACAATTCAGATGATAAAACATCAATTTGACAAGATTTAAAACAAAGCCAAAAGGTACATAAACAATTAAGATTGGTTTGTATTTTTTACCTTGAATAAAGATTTAAGTTCATTAGAGATGTTTTTATGATTTTCCAAGAAGAGGTTTTAGTTTTAAGATGCCATATGCAAAGAAAGGAAAAATAACTAAGGGATATTAGCCTAACACTATCCCTAATGTTATCATATACTGATTGACCATAAGGTTAAGGATGAAAGAGGAAAGTTTCTACCCTAGTGAGCACACATGGATTCCTATCCTAAGGTCTAGCTCGAGGACTAACGCTACACGAGCGATCCTAAGGGAGCATGGTAAATACGAAACAAGTGAGCAAACAAGTGCTTTGACAAAAACACACAATCGGGGTATACTGACTCACGGGACGAGGGGTATGAAGAGAAAATGCTTTAGCTAAGGGGAGCGGATCACCCGAAGCAAATAAGCGGGAGACAGATGAAATACGAAAAATGTGACGCCTAAAGCGACTGAACACCTAACCAACATATAGAAGATCGACGTAGGCGACAAAAGACAATATGAACGATCACAAAATGTCAGCATCGGTCGATGCAAACTCTTGACAAAGCATGGGGGTTTGATTGCAAAACTCTTCCCCACTTGACAAACTCGATACACAAGATTTGTATGACTCTGAAGCATCGACGTACAACGTGAGCTAAGGATGACACGGACTAGAATGTGAATGTGAGGGGATCGATTACGGACCCTCCCCGCTTTCCTCCTTTTGAGGACTTATCATCTGTAAATAATGCGAGCACAAATATAAACACACGTGCATAATACCTGCTTCCAAGGTAGGATTTTAAACAAACATAATTAGCATACGAAAAATGGTGCCTACTACAAGACTTTAAATAGTGACTACGAGTGCACGCTCTTTATTTCCTGCTTCCTACTTCATATGATTTCTAGAAAACAATAAACGTCCCTACTATACATGATCTCTAGAAAGTGGTAAAATGCAGTGTTTACAATATTTACAACAATAATGATTTGAATGTATTTACAATATTTACAACAATAATGATCTGAATGTATTTACAATAATAATGATAATGCAGTATTTGCAATATTTACAACAATAATGATCTAAATGTATACCAAATGGATAAGACAAATCCGTATACAGCAAACTCTGCAACAAAGTATTTGAATCTTCACAAGCTCCAAAAGCTAGCATTCGTAAGCAAACAACGTTAGAAAAAGTGATAGGCAAATGCAAGCAAACATCTGTCACCGAAGCAGCCAATCCAAACTTGTTTCTCCATATATACACAACTCACCAAAATGGTTAGAAAATAACAACACAATTAAAATACAACTGGTAAGTAAGAAATCCATGATTGAAACAATAAGATTATGTACAATACAAGATAGGCAAGTCACTTGATCATAGTATGGCATTTTCAGACAATATTGCGTTAATACCGAAAAGTGCACCAAAGTTGTTACAAAAATGAGTCAAGTGAAATCCGGCATAAGTATGAGTTGTGTATGGTCAAGTAGGGAAAAGTGAATCATGTTTAGGTGCTAACGACCATACTTCGGACAGCCATGCCATATTCAAGCAATTGCACTAAAAAGACGGTAAAAAACACATATATACAAGTTGACGGTATTAACAAAATGCGGTTTTTACATAAAGCGGAAATGTAGACATTAAATAAAGAGTTATATTATTTGCTACAAGTTAGTATATTTACACACTAAAGGGAATGGTATCATGGACCAAAGTTAGTGCAAAAACGGTATTTTCAAGAAAACGCATAATACGTGCATAAACTGAAAAGTGCTTCCGAAACAAGTAGTAACCTCTTGAAAACAATCCGGAATGATATATAAAAATTATGTGCAGCTATACATATGCCAACAATTACAAAAAATGCATTCAATTTGGTCAAATTCGCCCGAAAACTCGATTTTTGCAACAATTCTGGTTCGGGAAAAATCAGGTAAAAAATGCCCGAACCAAAAAACTGAGCTTGTAGGCAGCTCTGCAGGGCTCAAGGGACATGGTCTTCGTTAAAGAAAATCGGAAAAACTCAAAGCGGATTGAAAATTAGAACAAAATGAAATTTACGTCATGTTTGGTCGAATCTCATGAATTTGTGACAACTTCTCATGAATTCAAATTTTATGCAAGATGTGTTGTATAGAACATTTTGAGTCTATTGAACCTTGTCACCATTCATGAAATTGGCCAAAGCTAAAAAATATTAAGTATTCACATCATTTCACAAAAAGTAAGTGAGTGTTATGTCAATTTTGAAAACCAATAATGAAATATGAGTATGGCATTAAGTGTTAGCATCAGTAACAAATAGTAACCAGATATACATACAAGTCAAGTAAAAAAACTGAAGTTAGTTATCTCAATCACGTGCAAAAAAAAATGGTGAAATTGGAAAATAGGCGTTAAAATGAAAGTGTTCGGAATTGCACAAGGAATTTATTCTAGCCTAAACACATGCCAAAGGTTTCAAAAACGGAGTTGGTTCGTTCAAAAAACGCTTCTAAGGGCCATTGTCGTGACTACTACCGTAGCAGAAAACGGTAAAAAAAAGTTGTCCGAAACAGAAAACAGATTACGCAAACAGCTCCGGAACAAACAAAATAATCGGTTTTCATTAAAGAAAGTCATAAGAACTCAAAGCGGATTGAAAGTTACGGTATAAATGAGTTTATGTCAAAAAGTGTCATATTTTCCAAATGTTGAAATATTTTCCACTAAACTCCATCACCCCTATTTCAACTGAATTTTGCTGATATCAGAATTTATTAGAACTTATCTTAACACCTAGAAATGATAACCAACAAGTATCCACAATAATTGGCAAGAGAAATGATTTATGTCAAAATTTGCACATGAGTTGAAAATTGCAAATACAAGGCAGTATCATTGATATAGTGTTGTGTTAATGCACCTACTTAAATCAAACTAACAACAAAGCCAACTTAAATACAAGAGTGTTAGTATTTTGAGTAAGCGTTAGCATTCACATGAAGAACTTGTTGAAGCAAACTTTTATGTCAAAAGGGATATTCCGGACAGCAACCATTCTCATGTTATCAAGCTCAAAGAGCAGTAAAAAAATGCGCATAAACAAGTTACCAGTATCAAGAACGGTAAAACTATAAACGTCGAAACAATTTAAACAAAATTAGAATGTTTTTATGCACATAGTTCACTATTCTAGGAAGCGATGTTGTTGCTTTAGAACGCTTAAAATATCATGAAAAGAATGTAATGGAATCGATTCCGATAACTCTTAAATGTTGCCAACACAATGGTAAAACTCAAATCCGGATAGGAATTATATGTTATAGCATTAATTATAAATCATGGACAGCACTACGCGTATGCCAGCATTCAACATAAATCGGAATCCAAAATCGATGTTTTAACATTCTAATCTTGAATACTAGCACATGAAAGTTAGTTCATAACTTGCAAATAACCCAACATTATTTAAATGGCAGAGAAACCAATCAAAGTTAGGGGAATAATGTGAACTTACAGCATTAGAGTATATTCACAAGTTGTAAAATATCTCCAATACTAATTTATGTCAACAAATAAGGAATTGGAGTTATATCACAACTTGTAGAAAACTAAAGTCAATGTATCAAGATACACCTTAATGCCTTAACTTCAACAAAACTTTAACGAAATGGAGACTAAAATGTTTAATCGATATCTAAACGTTTAAAGAAAAGTATTGGCATCAAATTGCAACTCATGACTTTGGTTTATCAACACTTTTCACAGCTAAGTGTAAGCTTGAAATTCAATTGCAATTTTTAAAAGCTACTAATCCATGCTAACTTTGCTCAACATTTTGATATCAAGAACCTGACTATGTCAAAGAATTAGAGCTTCGCCAATCTAATATCAGTCTATATTACAAAGCCTAAATCAATTCTCATGCTAAAAATTAGATTCTAATTAGTGTTGATTCAAGAATTCAATCCCTAAGCCACAATCCAGCTTTAATTCAAAAAAACTCAGTACAACCTGGCCCCTAAACCATACGTGAATTCCATTCCTAAATCAATATTTCAGCTTCTAATTACAGCACTGTATCAAGAATAGAAATTAGCGTCATAATATAATTCTAAGAAAGAGGGAGAAATTACCTCAATTGCAAGGAGAAATGAAGCTAGATGATGATGATGATGCTGGACGTTGATGCGTACCAGAGGGAACAATAGTGTTCTTGTGAAATTGTAATCGAAGGAGGGAGCAGGGGGTACGTGTTGCTGAAGATCGCGTGATAGCGGGTGTATGTAGACTGCCGGAATTGGATGCTGGTCGGAGTGAGATGTTGCAGTCGACGGAGTTGGCGGTGACCGGAACTGAGCGACGGAGCTTGCTGGAACGGAAGTGAGAAGACGGCGAGAGTGCTTTGCGAAAGAGAGATCACGGAGGAGATATTCGCGCACGGGAGGAAGGAAGGAGAAGGCCTGATGGTGAGGGTGAGAGAGGAAGAGAAACTCTGATGGTGGTTAGGGAGGTTACCGGCGACGGTTAGGGAGGAGTACGGTGGGGGAAGGGAAGAAAATTTCTGGCAGAGCGAGGGAATAGAGGTTGCCAAGTCATTCTTTTCATATTTTGTGTTATATTCTTTTTGAGAGAAAAATGAGAGAAAGTAAAAGAAAGGGAAAGTCAAATTTGGAAAAAATGAGAGCCGCCCTCATTTTCGGGGTTAAATTTGATATATAGTAAATGCAAAAATCCCGCGTTTTCAATTTATTCTCTGCTTAAGTGAAAATTACACTATGATCTGTAAAACTTTTCGAATGCAGACCTCTTATGAAAATGCGTGCCTTTGAGTTACGGAAGCAACCCAAAAAGAACAGATGTTTTCTGGAAAAAATCGAATGAGTTCGATACGTTTAAGCGGCGAGACGTCACTGTCAAAAATTAATTACGTCAAAATATCAACTTATTTGACCTCTTCTACTCGGAAACGTCACAAGTTCGTGTCCAAGAAATCAGAACCTCGATTCGGCTTTTCCAGGAAAAATATGCGTCTCTGAGCGCCTGACGTCGTGTCAAAAAATAAGAGTCTTCTGATAAACGGTTGACTTTTTATGAATTTTATAGTACAATGACGTTCAGTCTATTTTGCTAGTACGAACAACTCTGTTTTGCAAAATAAACCAACAACGGAGGTCTTCGGGCTACCGCTCGGCTTGGCAACATGAAACGGAATTGAAGGAGACCAAATTATCAAGCTAATGATTCAAGAACGGGCGTTATTCAATAAAAAATGACCGAGTTATGAATTTTTTAATATTGGAAATCGAACAGACAGATACAAAATAATTCTTCGATAATTCGCAGTTTACGCATCCTTCCTCAAATAATCAACTCTCACCCCCTAGACGTCCATCAAGAGGATATCAAGAAGGAATTTCGGGCACCGAAACCACGCTCATACAGTAACCGAACCAAGAGATATGAATTTTTTAATGCACACAAAAACAAGGTTCAACCAACTGTTTATCAGTACTTCCCAGTGTTCAGCTTTGTCTGATTTGCGAATTCAGAGACCTTCCTTCGAGAATTAGCTTTAGGTCCGGACAAGGAAGTTGGAGAGCATATCGAGGCAAGTTTAACAATGGAAAAAACACCTTGAGACGGTATACGAGATCAGAGTTAGAAATTTCTGAACGCCCGAAATACCGTTGATCGGTAACCTGAAAACTCAGTAATAAAATTATTTGACCGTCTTCTGCACATAATTGGCTCCCGATTCAAACACAAAAAGTGAAGATAATATCAAAATAGACTTAGTGATCAAATTTTAGCCCAAAACAGTACTCTGGCTCGCAGTTAAAAAATTATGAAGTTGGCGCACCGAAACAGATTTTTAACCCAAACTGTTTTGAATCAGATCAAAACCTCGGGTTCCCTTATATTGCCCGAGACATGAGAAAATACACAGGAATAGAACATGGTGATAACCCGTTCCTCAGCTGATTGAATTTCCTGCACAAAGCCTTTTGACGTTTCTGATAAATAGTTTATGCTTTACTGGCATACCTTGATCCTATAACAACAGACCCAATGTATGCATGCGTATGCAGATGAAATGTAAGCCAAATAAAAATTCTGAAATCAAGAGGGTAAATTTTGGGGTGCAACAGCCAAATGTTGACTTCGGTTAACCCTTATACCTAATGGACCTAAGAAGCTTAAATAAACCTCTTGGGTTTAATTTAGCAATAATAAACCCCTTCAGAGAAACTACACCCCCTTTCTCCTAATTTAACCCTATAGCATCTAAACAATCAATAACATGACAATGTTTGTACAAATATAATAACCCTAAAACTAATAAGAAATAAAAAATAACCAACTAAGATAAATTGATTATTGACACCAGAGGGACAGAGTTGGGGTACGACACTTATCTACTTCATGCATGATATTGTTTGTTGCTTAATCAAGAAAGATACTGAAATTTCTTTTTCCAATAATAAAATTTGATTAGTACAATTTATTTATTTTCATGCTTCCTTTGTCCTCTAGCATACAGTGTCTTGGAAATTAGATTTGTCTTTAACTCTTCTCATAGTGAATTATTACTTTAAGTCTTTCGAGTCTGATTGCATTATGTAATGAAATAAGTTCTCTTGTCAGACACGTCTTCTCTTTTCCTAATTATACCTTTATTTGTTTCATCTTCTCTTTATCCTTCGAATAACAACCTATTAAGATTTCTTTCTAATGTTGTCTTTTGATTTCTGTCTATTGTTTTCTTATTTGTTCTATTGTTGATCTTTGTACTATGTGACTTTATGAATTCAAGTCTCTTGTTTTGTCTCATTCTTATGAACTTAGTGGAATGTGCTTAAAGTCTCAAAAATCAATTAAGCATTTCTTATATCTTTTTTACTTTGACAAAAAGGGGGGTGAAAGATTAATGATTTTGATTACTATCCATTTTTCAAATTCATATGATTACATGACATTCTAACATGATATAAACTGCAAAATTACTTAGAATGTACATGATTGCTACAAGAATATTTCAAATGAAATATTGAATTCACTCTGATAAATTAAATTCTAATATAGAACGATCATTGTTTCAAATGTTCTGAGAAAGCATGGATAATCTAATAAGCTTACAGGTTAAATCAATGATGTTGATCAGATTTAGAAAGGATAACAATGCTCTTAGACTCTGAAAGATCATAAGTTTATGATTCAGGGGGGAGATTTTTTATCCCATGGGGAGTTTCCAACTCAGGGGGAGTTTTCTAAACTCTTATATTATTTTGTTTATGATTTAACCCTGTAAAATTGTTCCATCAAAATACATGGTTTTGTCATCATCAAAAAGAGGAGATAATTAGAACAAGATTTGGGTCTATGGTTAAATCTCTAGGTTTTGATGATAACAGTGCAAATATTTTATGAAGAACAATTTTAGTTTCGAATGGTTTCATTGAATGTGTAGATATTAGAATTTTGGATAGTCTTAATCAAGATATCATCATAATCACTAATCACTCACAATAAGAACCGTTGAGTTTGTTTCTAATGAAACATCAATAGTTCTATTGAATGTTGAATGTTCGACAAGAAAAGAATCTCGATGCGTTTCTAGGAAGAGCTCAAGCCTCAATGATCATAAATCAAAAGATCCAAAAAGTCAATATTAAAGATCAGCTCAACATCATAATCAAGATCAGGATCAAGAATTATAAAGTAAAGATATCATAAATCAGAGCTTAGAATTGAAGATTTCAAGATATCAGAAATAGAGATCTTATAAATCAGAAAAGAAAGAATTCAAGATCAGAACCAAGATGTAGCTTACATAAGTTGTTGCTTCCAGCTCAATCCAAATATTAGAATTCAAGAGATCAAAAAGGAAAGAATTCAAGATCTTAAATCAAGATGTAGCTGACATAAGCTATTGCTTTCAACTAAACTCAAAGATCAGAGTTAAAGAGATCAGAAAGAAAGAATTCAAAGTCAAAATCATACGTGTTATATAAGCTTTTGCTTCAGAAATCAGACATCAGATATGCAGCTCAAAAAAAGTTGTCATCAGAAATCAAAGATCAGATCAAGATGAATTAACTAGAAAATCGGATGTACTGATATAAGTTTTTGCTTCAGAAATCAGACATTAGACATGCAGTTCAGAAAAGCTGTGTATCAGAAATCAAGATCAGAATAAGACATATTGGATCAGAAAAGCTTTCACTAACAAACAAAGAAATTATTCCTCAGATTATCTATTGCTTGTATATCTAAAGATATTGTTCAAATATCTGAAAGACTATGACTCTACAACAGTGAAATATCTTCTGGATCACTATCATTTTTCAATCAAAATCAATCTAGTATTAAGAAAAGAATCAAAGCTCAGAATTCAAGGACTTGAGAATCATAAAGGTTGTTGTCACAATATCAGATTTCAAGATCCAAACATCAGAAAATCTTTTGATACTAACTTCAGAAAAACTTTCACCTACAACGACAAGACTTGTTTCTCAGATAAGTTGTTGCTTATATATCTGAAGACAAGAATCCACTAATGAAATATTCGGAAATGAAACATCGTCTGACATAATATTCATCTCTCATGTCAGATAAGAAATATGCCTTAAAGACTAGCTCAAAGATCAGAAGTCAAGTTTCGTGTTTCAGAAAAGTTGTTACTATTATTTTTGAAGACAAGTCATGGGTCTGACAACCCTAATAATCTTATGCTACAACAACAAAGTAGTTTATGAACTACTCATCAGTTATTAATCAGAAGAATGAAGATAAAATAGTTAATCTCTTCCAAGCTTAATACTTTAGAATCAGAAGTACATCATCAGAAGATAAAGATCAAGAAACTTAGTCAAGAAGAATATAGTACAAACAATACACCACAAATTCCATTATGATAATATTGGATGTACTATTCATAGAAGTTTTCTCTCACGATCTTATGCTAACAACTGCAAGAAGTAAGCTAAGGAAAGTGACACTTCATACTATTCCAAAGCTCTCTTGAATCTATATGTTGGGAATCAACCGTTGGAAGGAGAAAGGACCTTTTTACCCTTACAATGACTTTTTTTGAAGGCTATAACAGAGGATCAATGAAATGAAGTCAAGTTGCTGAAAAGCCGTGGATGCATAAGTTATTGAAGTTGTTATGCTGAACACGTTGAATCCAATCATAGAGAAAAGAAAGAAAGAAGAAAAAAGAATAATTCTACAAGATGCTACACAAATTCTCATCAAATACATCTTGGTATAAATATGAAGAAGCAAGGAGTTGTTGCTCATAACTTGCTCATAAAATAAGATGAAGAAGAAGAACACTACAAGATTCTACTCAACTTTTAATCAAATACATATTTGTAGATCCATGTAAAATACACAAGTTGTGTTTCTTATATTGTGTCATAGTTTTATATCTTCATGTAAATTTTTTGAAAACAAGAGTTGTTGTTCATAATTGTGTTAAAAAATATGTACTTAATCATTTGTGTAATATGCTTAATAGAAGAAATCATGTAAACACAAACATTATCAATTGAAGGTTAATGGTTCCTTGAGTGATTAAGTGAAGGTCATATACTTAAGAAGACAATGGTAGAATGTCATTGTGGAATCCTATTAAGAGACCATGATTGGCCA